TCCGCTTTTTCTCACGATCACATCCTTCTTTTTATCTCTGATTACGCAATTGTGCGTTAATCGGACTGGCGCGCGAGAGCGATGAAAATAATTGGCTTAATCAAGATAGAGAAAAGGATTAATTAATGAAAATCTTTGTGTGTGAAGCTCTCTCTCTCTTTAGAAAACTGGAATTTCACATGTTTTTCTCGTCTTACAAATTTCCGCACATTGAATGTGTTGTAGCGCACACATACTATATATTCGCGATATTCGAACATCTCAAGTATTTTTCGTGACGCAAGACGTAGTCTGAGAGGTAAGTAGAGTCTCGGATAAAATTGCCACGGGGTTCAATATCAATTGTCAGTAATATTAGGGATCGCAATTTCACTGAGGAAGTTTCGTCGGGTGTTGTTCTTCTTGATATCTGTCCGGTTCCCCTTCTGTTTTCTCCGACGATAGCAAAACCCTCCCTTTACTTCAAAGGGGAAAGGAAAAGCGAAGGAAAGAGCGCGGGCTGTGTATGTCCGGGTAGGCGCCATTGATTATTTTCACGCGAGAAGAAGCACGAATCTCGGGACGGAGGGTCTCTTCTTTGTTCGGATCTTCCTTCCTCGAACGCGAGTGGGTCACTTGCATCGACAAAGACGCCGTTACGATTCCGTGGGGATTGCAAGATGGAGAGACAACGGAATATCCCGACGAGACAAGAAAGTTACGAGGAAGAGTCATATTTTTTTTTTTTTGTTTATTCTAATAGCGTTGACATGGCGCGGTAGAAAGCACAAAGCGGTCATCGAAAATAATTGTCATCGAATCGACAAATTTCTGATCTTCGTTTGTTGTTTAGTTCTGAACGATTCTATTTTTTTTTTTCTTGGGGAAAAATGGACCGGAACTTTGAAGTGCAATTTTGTTTAGCGCTGCAATTAAAAGTTAAATCAAGACCAGAGCCCGTTGTGCTGTAACAGATTATTAGGTTGAGACGGCGCGGTCATGAAAAAGAAAAAGCTATTATCGTCGCAAGACTTCTGGAAGCGAAGTCTCTTGGAGGAGACGCCATTGATTATTTTCACGCTACAAGGAGCACCCCGACTGGGAATCTCTTTGTTCGGCCAGTCTTTTCGGGAAACGGCAGTGGGTCACTTGCATGGAGAACGACGCGGAACCCGGTGCCCCTCTCGTTGGGGAAACGAAGAACGGCACGAGAAACTTTGAGCGAAAAGTTGTTATCGCGCTTCAAGACCGTCCCACCTCGAGCAGCAGAGGATACGCACAAGGGTCTTTCGAATCCTTTGTTCTGGCTGTAATACATGGACAGTTCTACTAAGTAATCCCTTTGTCCCTGACTCTCCGACTTTGTATTTTCCATTTAACTTTTCTAAGTCTCTGGATCAGCTTTTATCATCTGTAACCGGAACTTACGACGTTATAATTTCGGCGGGGGACGATGGGGACCTGCTGCAATATTATTATGTTGCTCGCGAGCTTATGGACTTTTAACGACTTTTTAAGAGGTTAATACATGCATTGCAAAATACACAGTTCTGCGCGATACTATTTCAGCAACATGAGAGCTAAAAATATGTTATTAATTTTTTATCATAATTTTTCTAGAAATCGCGTTTAACAATCTAAGGAAGAGATCATTTTATTTCTTTGTTCTGAATAAAGATATAATAGTTGAATATTTTTTTTCAAAAAAATATTCAATTGATACGAAGTTTAAAACATTTTGTTGGGTTTCGAAAATGTAGAAGTTACGACGTTTTGTTTTTGGCAATGTTTTCTCTTTTTCCGTTTCTCACCGTCCGTAAATAGATTCGTGTGGACCGTCTAGGCTATTCGAATCTGTTCAATGCTTTTAAAGAAAGTAAGAGGGTTCGTATTGCAGACTCTCGTTTTCGAGTAAACTGCGAGCGCAACGAGCAAAACCACTTCGAACGAGAGAATTTACGGCGTTGCCGGATTTTGCGAGTTAATTGTGCCCGTCTAGAGAAAATTTACCACGAAGGCAAAACAGCTTGCGAGAGGTTAGGTGGCTCTTTTGTTAATATACCAGGATGAGAAAAGTTAGTAGTCTTTTGTCAAATCTTCGCGCGGTATCGGTGTTTATAGAAAAATTTTTGGAAAATTGGATTATCTAGATACTTTTTCCTTTATTAAAAAGTTAAGTTTTTACTGTTGTTGAGATAAGATAGAGCAGGAGGATCACAGAAAGAGAGTGCCCCGGACACATCTCTCTTCCCTCTTTTTCTCGCATCTTTTCTAAGTAATTACTTCTTTTCTTTCTTTAGAACGGTAGCGGAAGTAGGCGAAGTTCGATCGTAACGAGTTTTACGCTCTTCTATATACCACCTTTTATCGTCCCGCGTCCTATGGTCGAGCTCGTGCTGATGTTAAAGCTCCAAATAAGGGCGTCCTTAGGAACCCTAAAAAAAAATCCCTAGTCGTACTTTTTTTTTCTGCATCCCTTATGTTTTCTCCCCTTTTGCTTTTTGTACTCCCTCTGCCTTTGAGAAGATTGTCGGCACAATGTACATAAAATGAAGTCAAGCGGTTTTAGCACCGAATACGTGTCTCCTTCCGTTTTTTCTCTCATATCTGTTTTTTTTTTTTTTTTTTTTTTTTTTTGCGAATGATGAATTCACAATCTCTCCTTACTGAGAGAGAGAGAGCCGTCATTTAAATTATGAACATAAGAAAATAAATAAAACAAATACGAAAACAGAATCGCATCGATGGAAGATGTGAAGGAATGATATACTAAGTGCTCGCTGTATTTCTGTACGTGACTCGTAAACGTTTTTAATACTTTGCAATAAAAGCGAATTTGTAACACGAATGAGTGAATTGTCGTCATTCGAGAGAACTGTATAATCAAAAAAAAAAAAGAAGAAAAAAAAAAGGAAATTTAATTTATTTTCTAGCTGAATTCTCGTTCTATATTGCTATCTAACCTTTACGCTTGGATGCCGTCTATTTTATCGCTTCAATTAGATAAAAGCAACTTTGCAGAATTTTTGAGAGATAATAAAGAAAAGAAAAAAATTTATAGTTTTACAGCATCATACACTAAACATCCGTTCTTTATTATTTTGCACCGTCGAGCGTGCAACGGCGGTAAGGCGCATTTTTTCCATTTATTTTGTATATCGTTCCGCACACATTATTGAATTCCGATAATCCACGTCGCCGCCGGTGTATAAGTCCCTTTACGGTACACCACAATTTACGATTCACCCCTGTCGTTTCCCGGTGAATTTTTTCTTTTCCCATCAATTTTTAGGAAAACCTCCGAAATTATTCGCGAGTTTGCTAGCCTTTCGACACTATATCGCAATCGGTTGACACATTCTGAAAAAAAAAAAAAATAAATAAAATTACACGAAGCGTATTGTGTCGTATCAACGCTGAGCCTTCAATCAAAATTGTAAAACCTTCGGGGGTGGTTTTTCCCCCCCGATCGGTTCGTCCAGAGATCGCACGTGAACATATTCGCGACCACTGTGTACCAATTCAATTTATCTCTTCGACATTGGCGTTGAGTCCTCACGGAGGACGGATAAATACATGTACGTGGTTCGTACGTGGCTCTCCCGAGCATCCCGGCGATCTGTCAAGGACTCTCGCTCTCTCCTTAGATGCGTCGGTCGTACAAGACTCGGTACTTTTCTGCTTTTTCTCTTTCTCTCTCTTATCTCTTCCCTTTCGCGTCTCTACATCCTCTTTCTCCTCTTCACCATGCGCGATCGCGCTCCTCTCGAGCGGTCACTTCAGGTACTTGAAAAGACCTCTCCGTAGTCTGGAAATATACTTTCATCTTGAGAGAATCTTACAGACGAACAGAACGTCACGTATTGAGGAACAATAAAGCCGAGAACTTTGTCCTTGGTCTTCGAGAAAAGTAATTTGAGAAATTCACCACAATCTCTCTTGGTGATCTCGAAATTTCTGAAGATAAGCATAAATCGTTCCCGAATAATCAAAAGTCGAATTTGTCGCAAATATTTTATTATCGGAGTACTTGTATATATTTGTTTCTTTGTTATTTAATTAATTTTTTTTTTAAGTACTTCAAAAATTTTTCAAAAATGTACAATACTTTTTTACAAGTTTCTCTACTTATTTCTTAAAGGTCGCGAGCTCATTTCCGTTTTCTCGTTTCTGTTTTCTTTGTCTTCAATAAGAAGAGCAGAAGTACTGGTTATGGCGATAAGCGCACAGTCTACCGACGTTTTTCCCCGTTTCAAAGTCGCTCGTTTCCAGTTTTTTCCACTTCCCTTTTCCCGCGTAGAGCCGCCCTTGGCGTCTTTTCGACATCACTTTCAAGCATCTCTCAATTTTCTTTCCCATTGCAATTCCTGCAACCACGAAGACGTTCGCGTTTTTTTTTTTCCACGTTGTTTTGTCTCTGCGCGTTCGCGGTTCTTGTTATTAAAAAATCTACCTTCACCACACTCTGTTTACTATCTCGACCTTCTCGGTTCCGCTTTTAGCCTTAGCAGACTTTTCTCCAACGACGCATCCTTTTGGATAGAAGCGGTGCACGTTGTGCCGTTTTTCCTTTGCCTTTCCCTCTTTTATGGGAACGCGCGTATCCCGAAACTCTCTCTCATCCAAGAGCTTTTCCGCCTCGAGCTGCGTTTTCTACGCCTCGGCCTTTAACGTCTTGGCTTAGGTAAAACGCGTCTCATCGCCGTTTCGTCTTTATTCCACTCATACGTTTCACCTTTCTCCCGTTGCCAAAAATCTTTACGGCACTTCGTCGAGCTCTACCTCCTTCGCAGTTTATCCGCTATTGAGACCCCGCTGCATTCTTCGGATTTTCCACCCTTCGTTTTTTTACAACCGCAATATCTGAATCTCTTCCTGTCTCTTATTTTCTTCATGCAAAAACCTTAACTGAATTGTTTTATAATTTTGCGCATACACATTTATATGTACGAATTGATATGTACAAGTACACGAGAATAATACACATGTGTAATTGTATTTTGTCAATGGTGTGTTTTCAGATGGAAGACGAGGGTAATCACGGTAACGATGACACCAGATGCTTCATTCTGTCAACACTGGCCGCCCTGCAGTGGTCGAGAGTTACGTGCGTCCTTTGTCGCAACGCCATGCTAGTTTTCGACAGGTATCCGTTGGTGGACGGCACATTCTTTTTGTCACCCAGGCAGCATTCTGCCGCCTGTGCCGAGGTACGTGTTTACCGTTCGCTTTTGTGAGACTATAAATACCGTATTTTCTCTCTCTCTTTTTGGTGAGTGAATATTTGGGAAATAAAAAACAAATATTCTAAATATATAAAAGTTCGAATCGAGTAGTTTGGTAACAGACGCAAAAATTTATCAAGAAGAAACTAATTGTGAAAGATTTTTTGTGTTAAAAAGACTCCAGTGATTTATTTAATTTTTTTTTTTTATTGTTCAATCAACATGTGATCATCTGTTTGTACATATATATAAACGTTTACAATACGATAATACGTCTGTGGTTCTTCGGTGTTTCGTTCCAGGTGAAAGTCGAAGGTCGCACGCAATTTTTGTCAGCCGTGTGCATGAGTTGTCTGGAGGGCAGCGATGGGCAACCCGTGCGTTGTCGTTTCTGCACTCAACCGTGGGACGGTTCGAGCCTGGTCCTCGGTACCATGTATAGCTACGATATTTTCGCGGCTATGCCCTGCTGCAGCGAGCGACTAAAAGTAAGTTCCAAGTTCGTGATCAGCCGATCTCTCGAATTTTGGCTCTGCCAACGCGCGAGCGTTAAGTTATTGGCTGCGTCTCTGTGTGTGCGTATACGAGAATAACTGTAATTTGTGAAATTTTTTCAAAATTTTTACATACTTCGTTTCTTTATCTTTTTCAAAACAATTATTGAAGTAATAATACGTAAAATCAAGGATTTTCTTTACGCGTTCAACTGAAACGTTCTTGATATTATAACACGCACACATATAATAGATACGTAAATATATTTATTAGCTGTTACTTGCAATTTCATATCTTTTCGACAATTTTATATCGCTTAAAATTGTACAACAATTTTTGTTTTGTTTTTCAATAATAGCCAATTAAATATAGTAGAAACATTTTGAAGATACCAGAGTTGTGAAAGTAATTAAGTGCGCGAGATATATAGAAGCTACGTGCTCTCTCATTCTGTCGCTTCGAGGCTTGATGAAGTCGTTCCGTTCTAATTTCAGTGCAACAGCTGCCAAAAGCCTCTGATTTACCCTCATCAGAGACTAAACTTCTACTCGGACTACAGCCGCGTCTTCGCCTGTCCACATTGCAGGGCGGTCGACGCTCACTTTGTGAAGCCGCTCTCGGCCTGCTTCACCCGCGAGCAGTTCCAGCTCTACAGTCAGTGGCCGTAACCATTAGAGAACTTAGTGAACCGCCGCCGTTTGCGCATCGCGGCCGATCTGTATCCCCTCTTTTATAAATCGATCTCCCTATTCCGGACGACCGTGCTCTAGAAAACCTCTCTTCGACTCCATTTAGGAGATTTTTGACAATGGCGAACGCACTCGAGGATCCTTCCTAGCGCGTCTCGTCGGCCGGATCCATCGGTGGATATTATTCGTTTATGTTTGAAATTTTTTTTTTTTTTTGTTTTTGTTTTTGATCGAAAACTGATAAACTTTATTTCGCAATTCCTTCGAATTGTTTTTTTTTTTTTTTTTTAACACTTAACAGTGAGCCTGCAAACGGCTGTTCCAAAACAATTTAGTATCTGTTTTTTTAAATTTTGTCTTGTGTGTGTCGCGCGATCATGCAAACGACGACGGTCCGCGCAAGTCCCTTGGCGCGTTCACGTAGTACTAATAAAATTTCAGATTAATGTTTATTTTTAATGTGTCGACTGTAAGTCTGTCTAGGTTGATTCTAAACGGGAGACGTCGGACTTCGGCGACTCGACGACTTGTTTCGTTACGACGACGTTTCGTTCGACGATGCGTGACGTAACTCTAGCAAACGCGCTGCATTTTCCAATGCATTTTTTTCCCACAAGTGCTCTTTAAGTTTTATAAGCATTTACATCGAGTCGCCGATTTAATTAGTCGATTTGTCGAAATCAGTGGCAATTAAGTTTTTTTATTAGTAGATACATGTATAACATCTCGACGCGATTGTTATGGACAATCTGTCTAATTAGCGGTTTTTTTATTATGTCTCAAATTAGCGAAATTTTTTGTTGCGAGAAGACTCGTGTATATTACTTATGCATAATTTGACTATTATCAAAATTATCTTAGGCAATTTTTAGATGAGAGTAATTTCTAAAATTTTGAATGACAATTTCGCCGTCTCCCGTTTTTTTTATAGTTGAATTGCTTTAAAAGAAATTAATACAAAAAAAAAAAAACTAAATTTAGGCAGAAGTAAACAATATTATATAGAACCTGGGAAAAAAATCGATTCACACTTTATTATAAACTTGTATAAAAAAAAAAAAAAAAAACGCTATTTTTAGGAAAGATTTGTGTGAAAAAAGAAAAATAACTATCGTTTGTTACTTAGATAATCGAGAACGTTGTTTTTTTTTACATTTTATTAGTTTATACGTTTATGGCGGCCATGTTGATTTTGTTTAAGGATCTACGACTCACATTCGATGGGTTTCAAACGTTGATTCGATCGGGCTTATTGCGCGACTTTCCGCGACTTCCTCGGGACGGGAACGTTTTACCAAAGGACGAACGTAAAAAAAAAAAAAATATTCGTCGATTTGCGCCAGTCGTACAAAAGTCAAGTAAATCATCAAGAAGAAGAAGAAGAAGAAATCTATCGGTCGAGACAGACTTCCGCTTTTTTTTTCGATGTGTAAACATGATTTTCACGTCTGGACGAAAAACGGACGGTTTTCGCTCTTTGATTCCGTCGTCCGCTCGATCGAGTACGATTCTCGCGGAAAGTCGCAATTGCCCGTTGTATATATAGCCAGTGTATATAATATATTAGGAGAGAGTGGGAGAGAAAGCAAGTGTTTGGAGAGGAAGAGAACCTTCTTTTTTTCTGGCGATGCTGGTCGTTGCTGTCCACCAATAGCGGCCGTCCCACAAACAAGACCGCCCACCGTTCTCAAGGTAGTGTAGTCGATCGTGTACCTTTTTTTTTTTTTTTTTTTTTTACATTACTTCGATTTAAAGAAAAGAAAAAGTATATATACTTAATCCATACGCCGGGAAGTATATTTAGGAGATAATAAAGTGCCCCCGTGTTGTAAAGCGTAGCACAAGGGATCGCGAAGCTGCGCGACTACTTCTTCCAGGTTTAACAAGGTTTTCGTTATCATTCATTTTATGAATCGAATAAGAGATAATCGTTTTTTATTTGCGTGTACAAAATTACAGTGTCTCCGTTCGAGTTTCATTTTAGTTTTACGTGCTTCGGTAAGTGTATGCACATACTTTGATACAAATTAAAACACAAGTAAACAAAAATACTGTTTAATTTTAAAGAAAAACTTCAATTCTCTTCGCTTATTAAACAACTGATTGTTTTTTGTTTGTGTAATGTTTAACGTAGAAATAATTCCTTTCTTTTTTTCGCGCTACGAGGATATCGAGAAATCGCTAATTCGAGTAATCACACAGTTTCGCTTACGAATTCAATGGATACAATTGAATTGAAGGAGAAGGAGAGAGGAGAAGATAAAGAGGGTTACAGAAGCGAAAACAATTAAACAAAAAAAAATATAAAAAAAATAAAAAAAAAAAAACAGAAGATGCGCACGCGCAGGAAAACGTTCGGCAAACGGCGTCTTAAGGAGGATTATATCCAGACGAGAATCTTCCTTGGACGAAGTCGACCGCGTATTGGAGAGTCAAAGAACGCGTTTCCTGCGCGCGATGAATTGAACTCTCGCGTTAATTAATTTCTCGCGCATTTTTAGCGCCGAGGGCAAATAACGATCGCGTTTGAGTCCTTCTTCTCCGATCGTTTCGTCTCGACCGTACGTTTTCTCAGAGTGCCAAATGAGCAATTGCCAAGCAAAGCAGCATTTTTAGTATCTTTCGTCCTTTTTCAAGTTTCGTTTGCGGTTCGTATCTTCTTCGTATATTCTTATATTCTGATACTTTTATCCAATTCATTATTATTATATAATCTCTTCGATAATAAAACATGATGTATCTACGCCTGCTCGATCGACGACGGAAAGGAACTTGGATTTCGTTTTTACTGCTTACGCGATTTAAAATTCTTAAAATCAAACAAGTAGAAGAGAAAAAATAAAAATTGGCTTTTTTTCTCGCAAGTTAAGTTCTTTACTTTTTTTTTTTTTTCAAGATTTTGATTACACGTTTGGAAAATAGTTTGTTATTTAGGCACGTGTGAGAATCTGATGCATTTATTATTTTCATTGGTTTTTAATAAAATTGAATTTTCTTTTTAAACTCAAGCGGCTGTTTCAACATAGCTTCAAGTTCCTCGCGCGATCGGAGAAGCGTGTATATGAATAGTTTTTTCTTAATGACTTATTGATGCGTGTTCCTATGAATGCACGCGTCGCCTGTACTCCCTACTGCTTTCAATTTTTAATAAGAATCCATATTAATCGGCGGTATGCGCTCCTCTGAATTCCTGTTCGCAGACAAATGAGAAAGGAACAAAGAGGACCGGGTACGGAGTTTTTAGCGGGATTTTTGAACGTTTGCAGTCGTTTATCGCGGATAAATTTTATTTCGAACGTTTGTACAGATTCTCATCGAAACGAAACAAGAGACACACTTCTTCGTGAGATCATGCAAAGTTCTCTCAGATCTTTTTTGTTTCTCTGTGACTGATTTTTTTTTTTCTACACATTTACTACGCACCCGTGAGTTTAAAGAAAACAATTGAGAGAAGCAAGATTTTGAAAATATTTGGAAATTTTTTAAATACTTCGTTACAAAAGTACAACACCGTACACTTTCTATTCTAGCAGATTTCGTTTATCTCGTTAATAAAAAAAAAAAAATCTCTAAATAATTAAAATATAGATAGATTATATATATATATTATATATAATACAAAGAGAACTATCGTTAACAGTTTAGATCTATCAGATGCGTTTAGCGTTTTCACGAGGATAGAGATCTTCTGACGGATTTCACGATTTTTAGGAATGAGATCGGTTATGTTGGCGTATATATATATCATCGGACGTAGATTATAAAGGCAAAGCCGAGAATATGCGATTTATATAGTGCATCTTGGTTTGTTTTTTTCTTTCTTAGACCTTTCTGTCATTAATTTTCATGTGCGAACACGTGGACGGAAGTGCCGGATCGGATTCTTCCGATTCGTCGGAATCGATATCGGAGGACATCCTCGGAAAAATCCTTTGAGAAGCGACGAATTTTTACGGCAGACACTGCGCATGTACAAGAGAAATCGCTGTGAAGATAGAGGAGGGGAAAAAGAAAATAGCTTTTTCACTATATGACGGTGCCGTAGCAAGCTGCTTTTTTTTTTTTTTTTTTTTCTAAGAGGACAGCAAGTGTCTTTTTTATCATCGATCGTGCGTCGACGCACGACGACGCACTTAGCTCCGTAGTTGATAAGGCTAATGTTACACTTAGGCTAATCTTTTTTATTCGGGTAATTAACTATAGTGATTTTGTACTTTTGCTATTTTCTATCGACGGCGTTTGGTAGAAATCGGCGTGACGAGAAAATGACGTTTATAATAAAAATCTTGCTGCTCGAAATTATTGTTGAATTTAGCCTGAAGATTCCGCGTAAAGATATACGTCACAAACTAAACTAGAGAACATTTGTTCTCCGCGAGAATTATATCGTACGAGTGTACAGAATTGCCGGAAGATTCGACGTTCAAGATTTAATCGCATTTCCCAGTGATTTCCGATATATATGTCAAATTTTCGTTTGTTCTTGTAAACTTTCGAGAAAAACGACGTCTTTGAAAATCAATCATCACAAGACGTAAAAGATTGTCGGAAGGTTTGACGTTTGTGAGGTTCCTTGTATGATACACACCTTACCGTATGGAGAGAGAAAGAGAGTGCTGTGATATATCTTTTTAATTGCAAACTGGCCGTTGTGTCATTGTGTTAATTGATACAAAAAACAATTAGTGGTGGTAGAACGAGAGACATACATTCGTTAATCTGTTTGAAAATGTAGCGATAATGTGAATGAGAGACGAAAGCAAATTGGAGACCAAGAAAAAGGTATCTAATTCTTCTGTGTGACGTGTGTTTTAAAATAAACTTCTCTTGCACATTTTTTCAGTAAGTTTAAGATTCGTAAATTACGTAAATGTCTCTTTATCCAAAAAGCTAGTCATATAAACCTCATAAATATACACAACAAACGTACTTCCCGGTGAATCGAAATCGAGAATCTTCCGGAAATCTCGTACACGCGCGATAACAATCTCACGTGGAAAATCAATGCCGATAATTTTATTTTAAGAATATTCAGGCTGACGATAAATACTTGTAAAAATAATACTTGTCGAATCAGATACGAGTCAGCGTATAGTTGAAACACTCATAAAGAGAGTTTCAACAAATAATAGATTTATCGAAGATTATTGTCGTCGCGCCGTTTACCGACGTCCAAATGTCGATTTAGTGAATGTTTTGTATATCAGTGTTTTTATATGGTCGGACTAGGGGTGCCCGAGGGTGGCGACGACGACTCTGTTAACGACCCTCGTGCCGAAGCCCTAAGGTATCGATATCGTTAATCAGACGCCGTCTCCCTCGTGGTTGGCCCAAAGTATACCGAATAATCGATATATCCCGCGTTTGTGAATTTTATATAATCCGAATAGCATTTGCGCGCGTGGCACGTTTGTATGGGACGGGAGGGGGGAGTATGGGGGTTATCGATGAGAGGGAGGGAAGGGAGGTTGAGTCTTCGTGACGGAAACAGAGAGAGGTTATGAATGGTTGAATTATGAATAGAGTTTAGTATATAGTCATTACATTACTTGAAAAGAAAAGAAGGTTTGAATCATCGATAAATAGTAAGTTTATAAATGACGGTTTTCTCGTAATTAAGACACTCTTTCGTTTTCGTCGGTCGTTCACTCGTCGTCCAAAGAGAGAGAGAGAAAAAAAAAAGAGGAAGAAACTGAGAGAGAAAGTGAGAGAGGAGGGAATCAAGACTCTGTCGTCTCGAAGCGCAAAGAAGTTTTTCTTACTTCGCCGTCGGTCGACCTTCAATCGAACGTTAATGGAAATTGATCAGGATCGAAGTCGGCCTTGAGATAAAAATTCGATCTCGAAGAAATCGCGCGTCGTTCACGTTGAACGGCTTGAGAAACATACGGAAGTGTAATTCGCAAGAGATACGTGGATTTGAGAGAGAGAAAGAGAGAGAGTGAGGAAGAGAAAGATAAGCGAAGCGATTGTCTGCGGAGTCGGG